AAAATGGACAAAAATAAACGTTGGGTTACTAATATAATAAATTTAATAATGAATACGTTTTATATTCCATTATTATTCTATGTCAAAATTACATTTCCTCATCAAGCATGTGAAAAGGATCGTTTTACTGAATGTATTACGAAAACGTTTGTGTTTGTATAAAGACCTCACCTCATTCCCATTAATGTTATCAAATCGTCTTATTAACATACCAAATATTATTTTAAATAGAGATCCTTTTATATATGAAATCAAATATATAATTTACATATCGAACTTAGTAAATATCGCAGAATGTGTAACAGATACCACAATGTATGTCTTGTTAAATATAGATAAACATTACATGCAAACATTAAAAAAATCTATCTATTTTTTATCTATAAACATTTACTTTTGTGAATTGAATACAATCGAAAGTGATAGTTTCCGAATACAAAGTTCAAAATCATTTTTTTTGCCAAGTCAAGCGTAATACAATTCCAACAGTCTGTTGGATGGACAAAAAAGAAAAGTTAAATTAATTACTAAAGCTTAACCGCTGTGTGAAATTGCTCTTTTCCGGATTAAAAAGATTTCTTTTCTTACCGGCAAAATTAGCTTCAATCCGGCAATAAAAATAATTAAATAACGCTTTAATTAACATTCTGGAAGTGGCGTCTTCGACAAATAAACCGGTAAATACCATCGCGTGCTCACCACACATTCAATATTGCATACTTAATTATATATTTTTTTCTGGACCAACACATGTGAATGACCTTCACAATAATAGTAAGTTGTTGTAAGAATGTAATATTTACAATTTTCGCAGGTGTCTTAACTTGTTATTGTTGGCGCACGTTCAAAAGTTGTCGAAGTGAGAATTGTTGAGTGTTATATTTGATTGTTCTGATGAGAGAACCAGTGTATACAATGCGAATTGATTTTTTTTTATAGAACCCAACGATTACTTTTTTTTTAATGGCAAGGTTTATTTGATCTAAATAATAGATGGAATCTGAATACTACTCCGTTTGTTTTAGTCGTAAATAATCTAAAATCCGTCTTAAACGACACGAGATTAACTGTAATGGCTCATAAAATCGTCTGGATACATGAAAACGAACTATTTTCAGAGACGCGTTTACGCAAAAATAATATCGCGGAAACTACGCGTTTTCAGGTACAGATTTGTTCATAATTTACCGACGAAATAACTAATAAATTATTGCTTTTACGTAATTATTACAGGACGTTGCAAGTATATGGCTTACGTTGAGTTATATGGCAAGTTCCATTTCTAATTTCCTGTGAATTATCTGATTGGAATATCTTAACGAATATTCAAAATAATCACTTCATCTAAATTTCCTGTCTTCTTCCTAAATTTAATCATTCCATGATGTATTTACAGGGTGCCCATTATGTATGGAATATAGTATATATCTTGGTAAGTATCAACTTTACAAAAAAACATTTTATACAAAAGTTGTTTAATATTTGATTTGCCATAATAAGACACCATTCAATTGTTTTTATTTCAGAAAACAAATGAGCAACGAATAACATTTAATTTGACGTAAAATTTTAGTACCCTTATACTAGAAAATTTTTGAAAAAAATGTAAAAACAGTTTATTAAGTTAATTTTGCCAATAACATGAATCTAGATATCCGAAATCTTATTTGTCCTAACAATTGAATGTAAGCTATTGAATGTGACAGAATCTTGTTTATTAAAATAACTTGGTAGATCAAAAAAGAAAAATGGTTCATTTAACAGAAACTGAACGCATAGAAATTTTAATTATGGTCGGTTATGGGGATCGCAAACGAACACAATCATCGAGAACCAATCACTCAATCAGTAGTTAGCAAAACTTCGAAACGTTTTAGGGAAACTGGTAACGTTAAAGATCTGCCAAAGACTAGTCCGCAGAGATCTGCAACAGATGAAGATAAAAAGATCGATATTCTCATAGAAATCGAAGAAAATCCAAACATTTCAACTCGTCAGTTATGTTTAAACCATGCTCTAAGTAAAGGTTCAATACACAAAATATTACATGCAGAAAATCAAACACCACAGAAATTAAACGTATGGGTGGGAATTTGTACAGATCCCATAATTGGACCTTTCTTTATTCGAGGTACTCTAACTGGTTACCGTTATTTACAATTATTGCAACAGCAAATTATCCCAGCTTACCAAGAAAATCTTGATGATCTTTGGTTTCAACAAGATGGGGCACCGCCCCACTATCATTTAGATGTACGCCGATATTTAGATACGGTATTTCTGGCCCGTTGGATAGGCAGAAGAGGGTCTGTAGAATGGCCACCCCGATCTCCGGATCTTACACCTTGCGATTTCTTCTTCTGGGGATATTTAAAATCTAAAGTTTATGTAAACCGACCTCAAAATCTGACAGAATTGGAGCAACGAATAAAAGATGAAGCTGCAGCTATTTCTCCCAGATCGCTAAGAAATTCTTTTCAAGCCTTTTATGATAGATTGGGCCACTGCCTTGCAGTTAATGGTGAACATTTTGAACATTTATTGTCGTGAAAACCATTTTAGTGCTAATTTCGTTTTGTCTTCAAAGTTTAATAATTTTCATTTACACTAATTTTTAGTTTATTTGTTTTATTTTGTATGTAGATTTAATTTACGGTAATAATTCGAGGTAGTTGACGATCTCGGATATCTAGATTAATGTTATTGGTTAAATTTTCTTAATAAACAATTTTTACATTTTATGCAAAAATTTTCTGATGTAAGGGTACAAAAATTTTACGTCATCATAAAGAGAAAAGAAATCTCTATCAAATAAGCCTAATAAAAGGGTACATTGCCATTTAAAAAAAATTAAATGTTATTCGTTGCTCATTTGTTTTCTGAAATAAAAACAATTGAATGGTGTCTTATTATGGCAAATAAAATACTAACCAACTTTTGTATAAAATGTTTTTTTATAAAGTTGATACTTGCTAAGATATATACAATATCCCATACATAATGGGCACC